TTTGTGGCAACATGGTACCCCGGAGAGAATCAAATCAGACAACAGCACTCTTTTTCAAAACAACCCAATAAACTCTTGGTAAAAGAAACATGGTATTGACATACATCCCGTATCACCCATAAGCCTCTGGAAAGACTGTGAGGTATAATAGACTGCTGAAGACTATGTTACGAGTGTTAGGCAATGGGGCATGAAGGATTTGGATGTATATTTAACAGAAGCCACTTGGCTCATTAATACCAGAGGATCTGCAAACCTCCCTGGTCCTGCCCAGACAAAATCCCTACACAATGCGAGGAGATAAGGTCCCCATACTATACATGGGAAGTTGCTGGGAAAATCAGGGTATATTTCTCTCCCTATAGGAAAAAGCAAACCTATTTATATGATTGTCTTGTCCAAATACCTGGGTGTACTTTGTGGGTAATGCAGAAGGATGGGGAGACCTGGTGTGTGCTCCAAGGAGATTTACCCTTGGGGGGAAAATAATTTGTGGTGTAAGTTGTATGTTGCAAAAGTAAAACAGCAAAAATGACATTAACTGATAAAGCATGAATTTTCTGAGGAATAAGGAGAGTGGGAGGCACAGGGCCAACACTAGTGCCAAATAATTAAGTGTGCTGTTTTTCCTGTCTTGAGCACCCATCTTGATGGAATCTAGCCCAAGTCATGGCCTGATTTTAGACATCTGGAGGTGGAGGATGCTCTTGAGATGGGAAAATAATACTGATCTGTGAAAGGACAGGGGAGAGCAGGTAATGAAAATTTATAAATCTGTGTGTCCAGCAAAAGTCAACCCATCATAGCCCCTCCTTTGCTCTGGTGAAACCCTGCCTAGTGGACTGCATCCAGCTCTGGAACCCACAACATAGGAAGGACATAGGAAGGACATTTGTTTCAGCAAATCCAGAGTTGGGTCACAAGTTGATTAGAGGGATGGAAGACCACACCTATGAGGAATAGCTGAGAGAATTTGGATTGTTCAGTCTGGAAAAGAGGCAGCTTCATGGTGACCTGATTGTTCTCATGGTGATCTGTTCAAAGCAGGGGAGCTGGAACTTGATCTTTTAAGGTCCTTTCCAATTACAGAGGAATACATCTGGTGCAGGTAGCTGATTTGTAAGCTGCAGTTAAGAGATACAGGTTGAGGTGCAAATTGAGCTGTGGGTGGGATCAACACAGGAGGCAGTGAACTGCCAACTCTTTGCATAACAAAAGGCTTGAACATGAGTGGCTAGCCAGGTGAATGGACACGGGGACATGGCAGGAGGTGGCATGAGAAGATTCAGCAAGGAAGACAAAGGAGAAGGACGAGGCTTGCATTACACTGGGATGGTATAAAAGCCCAGGAGTTTCTTTGTCTGAGATCCCTCCTAGGAGACACTAGCCCAGGCTGCTTCTGTATTTTACACTGTTAATAAACTGCTTTATGGAACAAAGTGTCTGGGACTTGGGGTCAAACCAGAAAGGAAATCTGGTCTGATTGTGAGCCAGCTGTGCAGGGAGTCAAATGGGGCACCTGTCAGATCACTGGAGCTACCCGCAGTGACGGAGCTTTGGTCCCAGAAGTTAAAGTCTCTGGCACTGGGAGAGTGACTGTCAGAGAGCCTCGTGAATGGTCAGACTGGGAAGTTTCCATAACAAAACCCAGGTCATTCTATGATTTACTCACAAGTTTGCAGACACCCAAGCAGCTCAAAACCTCAAAAGTGCAAACAAGAAACAAATACATGACAACAGCAACTTCCATTCATGTTTAAATATTGAGATTCTTTGTATTTATAGAAAATACAGATCCTGTCCCTCCTTCAGCACTAGACTCATCTGCAGATCACTGATCTTTCCTCATTACCCAGGTGCTCCTTGAAACTGTTGCTGCCTTTGTTCCAAAGCTTGTTGACTTAACAGTCGCTGTTGTTTCTGTAGAAACTGCACTACTTCTGGGCTTCTGAGTAGGGACTGAAAGAGACAGAAAATTAACTTTACTTTATAAAACTCACATGTGTTAAATAGCTACCATATTTTTCCGTTACATTAATTTGCATGTTACCTGCTGTTGCTTAATATCACAAAAATCTTGTAAGTATAACAAACAGGAGTAATCTGCTGACATACTAGAAGCAAAATATCTTTCAATTGTGCTTCAGTTCTACAGCTGTGCTTCAACTGAGCTGATATCTACATTTCTCACTACAGATAGCTCAAAAAGTGTTTAATAAATGAATAAAATATTATAGTCCTGCAGCAAAGCCCATGTGCCTGTCAGGGTTCAATCATCAGGACTATGCCCATAGGACATATTTTAGTTTTAGGCAGTCCTGTGAGAAGCAAGAAGTTGGACTCAATGATCCTTGTTGGTCCCCTCCAACCCAAGATATTCTAAAATTTTCACTGACTGTCCAGAATTTCTCAACATTTCTACCCACAGGGAATGAGTTGCAGCCTGTAATCCAACTCTGGTTGTTCACTCTCATTCCTGCACTGTGGCAGCACAAATGATTGTAAGATCAAATGGCAAATCAGGTTGAGAATTGATCCTTCCAAAAATTCATACATGAAAAGCTGAATTAATTCCCTAGATGCTTCCTTATTATCCATAGTCACTTCAGTGATACAACCAAAGAGGTACTGCAACTGCAAGTCAGAGGAGAAAGAGAGAAGTGAGAACCAGATCAAGGAGAATCTGAATTTCAGGAATACTGAAAAGAATCTGGAGTTCTTAAAGAACTTTGACATAATTAGTGCATAAGCTCTGAACATCTATTAAAAGAGCTTCTGGTTGCTGTACTTCTATAAAAAATAATGTTTCATCCATAAGATACCTTTCAAATTTAATTAAAAGCCACATCGACAGAAACAGCCAGGAAAGGAAACAGGAAGCCATTAAGTGGGGCATGACAAACAAGAGATAATATGAAAACTACTCCATAGTTCATTACTTGTTTTCCTCATAAAAACTGAAAAGCTATGAATAGTCCTCTGAGTTGTAGACACAATCACTATAAAGTGCTGTCATGGAGAAAGAATTATCAAGAAATGCATCTAGGTAGTTGTACACTTAAGAGTGGCATGATGTTTCTCTTAAGGCTTTCTGAATTTCTGAACAAGCACAACAGCACTGTAATGAGGATTGTTGTGTTGCACAGGTAACACAGAGAAGACAAAGAGTCCCAATAGCTTTTGAAGAATAGAGACTGCAAAAACATGCAACAAAGAAAGTTGTAATGAAAAAGCTGAACTAACTGTAGGTACTGAATGGTTTCCCTGCACTGGGCTTAATTTGTTAAAGGAGAAACCTGTGTTTAAAAAAATTATGAGACATGCCATTCATACAGTCTACAAATATTATACATCACTGTTTGCTCAGAGTTTGCTTTATCAACACACATATACACAACTTTAAGTTTGATATGATACATCTACAACTTCTAAAACACACCATAGTAAAGCTGACATCAGACTCTAAGTCCATGCATTCTTCCACCTAAGGCTTCAGCTTAACAAGCTAAATCCATCTCAGTTATACTGTAGGCACTATTTACCCTAAAGAAACCACCACATCTGTTACTATCAAAACTTCAGATCACTACATTCAGTCATCTTAGTATTCTTCACGGAGAGGCTGAAGCACACATCTCTGAAGCATGTTTTTAATTTGAAAATATGCACACGCACTGCGTGCTTATTAAACTGATCCTTTTTTCACAGTGGTGACAGGTAAACATTGTTACACTATCTTTATTTGAGTTTAAAACCTCTCCAAAACAAGACTTACCAGCCTCTTTTTATTCAGTACTTGTTCTAAAAGAGTAGGTCTTGCTGGGCGATCCCCAATGGATCCTGATCTCTGCTTTGTTACAGACACTGAACCTTCAACACTATCCTGCACATGACAAAAAACAAACAAAAAAAGGGAGGTCAGACTATAAACTCTGATACAATGATACTCAGAAAATCCCAGAAGTAAAGAACATTTGCCACCTTAATCTGCAGAGGAAAGTAACAGCACACGAATGGAAATCTATCTATTCAAGACCCGGCATCTCCTTTCTATCTCCTTTCACTATTTCACCAGCAAGAGTGAAGCAAATGCAGTTGAATTAGTCTTCTACACTGCAAAATTAAACAGGTTACTAGGGCTAGTTAATGGCTTCAATTTATTTGATTGCATTTCTTAAAAATGAAGTAAGTCACAACAGGTCAGCCTCCAGCTTATAAAAATGAATTCCTGCCCATTTGTAATTGGAATGACAATAGTCCTTGTGATACCAAAGTTTATTCTGTTCCCTGTACAATCACCAGTCAACTGAATTAGACACACTAATAAAACGTGGTTCTACAATCTGCTGTAATATGAAAGCTTTGGAAAATTTCAACCAATGTTGAATCCTATGTGTATTACATTCAAAACTTACTGACACTTACATTTACCTGAAAGGGCTCAAAAGCAGGAACAACAAACTATGCCAATATCTTCCACTTCTATCCTGCCCACAGAAGTGAAAAATTAAACTTCTATTAGGAGCTTCTACTGAAAATGGCCTTAATAAATACCACTGTAAAAAAAAAAAGTAAGTTTATCACTAAATACCCTCCTTTCTTCTGCAACTTCAGGCCCAAATTTCCTTACATTCAAAGTAACCTGCACTCACACAAACTGGGAAAAGAAAACCCACCCTCTTCTAACATGCACTAATCACTATTTCATGCTACAGAACCAAAAGTTTTAACCCATCACTACATCAAATGAAGCATTTTTACCCTTCTGATATACTGTCCCCTTTTCTGAACTAGAACAAGTATTTGGTAGACACATCATGAATCTAGCAAGATGAACTATCAGGGAAGGAAGACAGAAGAGGGGAAATCATGCTGATACATAAATCTAGAATTCATTCTCCTCTTGAATAATGTGTGCAGCTTCTCTTAACTCACTGAAAAGAGAAGTAGCTACTAAAATTAGAAAAGACTCACAAAACAGCAAGGATATTAAAAGTGTGTAACTTTTTCCCTGGAAACAAGCATTCTATGCCTTTTCAATGCGAGAAAGAAAAAACTTAGAGGCAGGCCTTCAAAGTGAATATCACAAACACAAGAGGAATTGTTCTAATCTAAACACTACCTGGCAAATTAGGTTGACACCAACAAGATTCAAAAACAAGGTGAGTATTCACATCAGGCAGCAGACCTGAAGAAACTACCAGAATGTAACAGAGGCTCAGAGCTTACAAGGGTTCATCAAAAATACAAAATACTTTATGGAACACATATCACTTATGGTTACAGAATATATCAGGAAAACCTCAGCAAGTCCTTTGAACTGAAAGGGAAGATGAGAGGATATGTCCTAGCAGCATCACGTACATTTCCTTTTTTTAATGCACCTGCCTCATGGCTTTTACAGACATAAAAAGAAGATTCCTTCGTGTGACACCCACTATGATTACTATTATATTTACATTAAGAAAAACAGATACAGGAAAAGATTTTTGCAGTTAAATCAGTTCCAAATCACACAAACCCAGACACAGCAGTGATGACATAAAAGGTTTGCTTCTAGCAGGAGTGCTAGGTAAGATTTTTTTTTTCTTCTGGCAATCACTATTTTACACCTGCCCCTTTGAGCACAAATCACCCGGCACCTTCAAGAGTAAAACTATTTCCCTTTTTCTGTCTCATCTAAATAAAATATCTGAAACACTCTCTCTGTACAAGCGACTATCAGACAAGTGTGTGGTCGTAGCTGAGTCACAAACTGTAGGAAAAAGTATTTAAAAAGTTGAGCGTTACCATCAGTTTTCCCACTTGACAGTATTTTCCCATCTAAACAGTACACGTAAGCTTATTCAAGTTAAGTATAAACCAGCGGTGGTCGAAATATTTAGGTGGCATTTCATATAAAATAACAAAAAAGCATCCTGAAGAACCCACACAAATGATTTTTATGCACCTGATACCCAACGGCCTTTGTGACTTTAAAACTCCACACTTCAGCACCAGCTGAGAAACAAGTCTGACATCTCTCTTAGATCGATACTTTCCTACCGCAGGAAAAAATTTCTTTTCCTGGAATCTTCTGATATAGCTGCAAGCTTCTACAATTTATGTCCGAGCCGAAAACAAACGGAGTTTGCTCTGGCAAACAGGAAGAAGCGCGAGCTATGGGACGGCCCTACGCTTCTTCGTTTTTCCCTGGCCATCTGACAGAACCTGGCTTTCCAGAGAAGCCCCTACTCCCAGGGAAGCCCCTACTCCCAGGGACCACGCGGCACCCGAGGGCGGCCCGGCC